TTTCTTCTTTGTGGGTGTTTTCATGTCAGGACACGCCGCCTTCCTGCAGCATCAAAGAATCGGAGCTCCACAAACACGTTTCCTGAGACGAAGCCAGCCGGCATCACAGCCTCCTCTTTATCATCCTCAGACGCTCGGGGATCATAAAACCCCGCAGGGACAAACAGGAAGTCAGTGTCAGAACCTGGCGAACGCGCCGTCACATTCATGATTTTGCTGATCGGATCGTTATCAGGATCAATGAATCATTTCACCCACGCGAGGGTGAAACCTCGGGACGGGTTCTTCCATCAGGAGGTTTTGTACGCCGGCGAACAGGTTTCTCAGTCGGTTACTGGGAAAGTTCTGTTTTGATTTTGGCCAATCAGAGGTCGCACGCTTTTAACAGCCAAAGCGGGAAACTTGTTTCAGCCAATCGTGTGCGTCCACGGATGTTGGGGTCTGTTTTACCTCTACTGCGAATGCGAGGTAGTAGTGACGCAATGCGTAGTAGAAGTATAACCGGTCGGGAAAAACCTTTTAAAGGAGACCTTTTATGCTTTTCCATATTTTAAGACTTATCTTTAATGTTATAATGTTGGATGTTCATGTTAAACTTGGCCGAAGCTTCAAATAATGAGGTTAAAGTATTTAAAAGAAATCACTGTGAGCAAAAACCTCAGATTTCCTCATCTGCTTTTTCTGCGAGCCGCTGTTCCATATATGGTCATGAGCTCCCATAGCAACGGCACAGCAACGCTCAGTCTGCCTGTTCTGCCCAGCAACTGGTAACATGCTTCAGGTCTTGGCCAATCAGAAGACAGTGGGCTTTGAAAGGGGGGGCCTTAAAGAGACAGGAGCATCTACAGCTTGTTTCAGACAGAGGCTGAAATGAAGGCCTACATGAAGAGTCAGTATAAGAAAAGAAAATATTTTTACTTTGAATCATGCAAAGCTGCTATACAGGAGTCACAGAACTACAATATAGGACTGGAAAAGCAGAATAATAAACCTTATTTTGTGGCAAAGTTGTCAAACATTTCCAGCGATTTTTATCAGATTTTCCTGCCGATTCTGTTCATGTAGGTTTTATGTCCCGGTGACTAGAGAAAGTTCAGTTCTGGCTGTCTGACCATTCATTCAGACAGGAGCCTGGTCTTGTTAGTCCGAAAAAGCTGTCCGGAGGCGTTGCCAAGATGGCGGCCGAGTGGCGGGACTTCCCTGTAAGAACGTTGTTGCATCCCAGCCCGTTCTCATTTCCAGGGCGTCAATTCAACACTAAAAGTACAACTATAAAGAGTAAGGAGGTGTTGGGGTGGAGACTGGTGTTTCCGCTGTGAAACAAAAAGTCAACATTCCCTTTATTGAGGTTACGTAACTCACGAACGTAGCGTTTTTAAACTTACACAAGTCACGTTAAGCTAAACCATGACCTTCTCCTAAACTTAACTACGTTTCACGATGTTGACCAATAGTTTTATTTTGAAGGTCTACAAGGACATTGCATAGCTATTCTTGCCTTACGTGTCCAAAAAAAAACTACGCTAACCCAGGGCGTGAAAAAGTGACGCCGTGGGGTTTTGACAAAGCGTCCCTATGTGACGCCCTGGGATGAGAACGGGTTGCGCATTCATTAAAAAGCTGCTGCTGTTCAGGGTCATCTGTGATTTCTGCTTGTGAACTTTGTGTTTCACTGAACTTCCTTTACAAGAAGGTTAAAGTTGGTCAAACAAAAACTGAAGAAGGTCGTTTCCTGCCCTGAGGGTAAAGTCAACTCAGGTTCCCACGGCGAGTTACAGCAGAGGATGAAGACGACCTCCGATAACGTCAGAGCAAACACTTATTAAATCCAACATTAATCTTTAAAGAAGGAGCGACGCCACAACACGCCGCGACAGGGCCGTCGCTCATCTGTTCTTTCTGAAACGCTGAGGATCCTCTGTTCAAACTCACTTTGGCAGAAAGAGAGAAAATATTTACAATCGCAGAAAACAAACTCCTGAAACTCAACGAGCCATTAAACCTTCTACAAACAGTCGAGGGACCACTTCCTGTCGAGCAGACAAACATTTAGGAAACGCACTGAAAGCTGCGATTACATACAGACACAACAAGTGAAACCAAAGCCTGTAAACGCCACGACTTCATAACCCAGAAATCTGTCAGGCTCTGAGAGGACACTTCCTGTGTGGGAGCAGATTTTCCCACCAGGCGACCAAACCACCTTTATATTAAACAGGAGGCTCGGACGCTCACTTCCTGTTTCAGCATGGGTTTTAATTCACTACTGGAAAGAAAATCCACATTTAGTCGTTTATTTTACAGCCGATTTCTCCTAAAAGTTTGCTTTCCATCAGTTCTGATGTGTTTCAGACGTTCTGTATTGTCGTTAATAAGGATCTGATCAGATATCAGCTCTGTAAATATTGATTTTCAATAAAAAATGGGTGGAATTTTACAATATTTACTTGTAAAGGCCGTTTTTTTCCATCACAGTCTGAACCTGAAATCTCTACCAGACACCAGACCTTCCAGTTGTATTCCTGACTTTATTCTGAAGGTTTAACGAGGGGTTTGTTCATAAATCATTAACCGTCTAAGTTATAGAACTTTTTTTCCCCAAAAACATGATGCCTAAAAAACATTTCAGTTCAATATGTCGACAAAACAAAACAATAATTGATGATTTCAGCTCTTGAAATAGATGAAAATTAGCGCATATTTTATTACAGACGGCCTCATTTGCATATTTAAAGCTAAAAAACTTCAGAACACCTGTAACACAAAAAAAACATTCCTGGTGTTCACCTGCAGCGTCTCGCCTTTAATCTGATATTTCCAGGTTGGGTTCTAGGGTCAGACACCACCTCACCTGGCTCAGGTGAGTCCTGAACCAGGCCTAGACTGCCGGGAGACTTCCCATGATGCACCGAGCTCCTCTCTCTTATCCCATGTCACTAACTCGGCTCCTCCCCTCCTCCCGCTGGTATTTACTTTATTTCCCCCATCGTGCCGAGCTCTTCTGACTTCCCACATGGTTTCTCTGCAGCAGAACAAAGCCGGGCTCTAATTATGAAGCAAACACCGGCCCGACAATGCAAACACAGCCTGGAGGAACAGAAGCCCAGCGTGTAATTAAAAGGCATTTCCATTTGAAAGCGAGGCGTTGAGCAGAGTTCAGTACCTGAGGCTACAGAGACGGCAGCGTGAGCCAACCTCTCAGGAATGTCAGCACTGTTTAAAGCAGGCCAGAGGCTTCAGAAATAGACAGGTATTTTTAAAAAGGCCCGAGTCGGAGCTGCAGGGAAGCCAAGACGTGGTGGCGGCTAACAGAGCGAGTACACAGGAAGTATTTCAGCCTACAAATGAAGATATTTTGACATAAAACAGCTGATAAATTATCAAAACTTTTTTTTTTTTTAAATACATACTCGTTGACAAAAAAAACCCCTCAAGGTCCTCTTACTAGATTTCATCCAAAGCTTTCAGCCACATCTCATGAGCTTCACCAGCAGAAGAAGACAGGTGTTTAGCTAGGTAGCGTGATTACATTTGATTTTTACTTCACTTTATCTACATCTGAGATAACCCTGGGGAGGACCATGAGATGTGACTGAAAGCTCCAGAAAAAGGCTAATAAGTGGGCCGTGCAGGGCTGTAGCCAGGATTTTAGAAAGACTCAGTAACGTCAGGAGTCCAGAGTGTCCCAGCAAGAACGCCACAAGCCGACAAACAGAGTCTAAATGCCACCAACCAAACTCTGTACAATTTTTAGCGTATTTAACAAAAATAAATAATAATCTAGTGGCAAATATTAAACCCCTTTAACACTTATTTTCAGGATAATCGTTTAATAAATGACAGAAATATACTATAAAATGTCTTGTTTTGTCTAAAACAACAGTTCAGTTACACAAAGACATTCAGGGGTAAGAACAGCAGAAAATGACTTTTGAGAAGCTGGAAGTGGAGAATATTTGACATTTTTGCTCTAAAAATTGGTAACTTGATGATGAAAATAGATTTATAGTTTCAGCCAAACGTGTTCCTGTACAGGCTGGAAACCAGACCTGTGTTTGTTATTTACTCTCAGAGACGTGACTCATGTGTTAAACTGACTCATGAAGACAACTGGACTTCCTTCAGTCCCAGAAGAGACCCTGTGGTGCGTTCAGGGGCCGACAGGACACCCAGGCTGCTAACTTCACACCTCCGGCTGTTTGTCAACCAAACAGTGGAAATCGCAAAGTGAGAAGGTGATGGAGGAGCAGCAGGAAGCACCGACTGACCCTGCTGTCAGCTCAGAAAATAGCTGCAACCCCCCACCTGCACACACACAACCCCCAACAATGAAAAGTATGTCCTCCGAGCTGCACTGCAGGCAGCAATAATCCCTCAATCCCAAAGTTCACAAGTTTCATCACTGATTCAGAGCTCAGACTTTACCAAATCGTGATAACGTGAACACGCTGAGTAGAGATTCAACTCTATGGCATTCCTCTTTCACCTAGTTTGAGGCCATTCCTCCATACTGAAAGTCACACCAAACTCCATACAAAAACTTCACCAATTTATAGTTCTCGCTCTAGTATGCAAGAGTGCTAACAATCGTACGCCACAACTGCGGGTTTTGTTAGAAATGTAACGATGGTGACCTCGGTTCGGCACACAGCTACTACACCAAGCAGTGGTTTACACCGAAAAGCACTTTTTCCAGCTGTTTAATTGTGCCCGCGAAGTTGTTATTTAACGCGAAGCGGCAGAGCGACTGACGGTCAAACTTCGATGTAAAGTCGGAATTTACAACATAAAGATTAGTTTGAGGGTACCTGAGTGTGAGCCGAATAAAAGAGTGCTTCTGTGAAATGTATAAAATATATGTGCTTGTGTTCATTAATGTGGGTGCTTTTATCAGTGAGGGCGGAAACCTTGAATTGTGTGTTTTTTCTGAAAGGGATTCGGCGCGGATGATCTCACGTCGCGCAGAGGGGAAGTTACCGGGTTGTTCCCGGGGCTCTTACCGAGGTGCAGGGTGAGGTTGATGGAGTTCGGGTACTGGATCCCCGCCAGCATGGTCTGGCTCTGCCACCAGGTGGTGTCCTGCTGGTTGTTGTAGTCGGTCAGGTACACGGCGCTGTGGTGGTTCCGGGGGTCCCGGGCGTCGCAGATGTGGCAGGACTTGGTGACCCCGGTGGCGCCGGTCTGCACGCAGTACTCCTCCGGTGGAGAGCCGCAGGTGTTGGTCGCCACCACCGTAACGTTAAAAGCGGCGTTCACGAACTCGGGCATGCAGCGCTGCGGTCTGCCCTCCTCGTCCGTGCACTCATCCATGGCGGCGCGGACGCACACCGCCGCCACCCAGCTGCAGGCCACCAGAGCCCGGATCAAAAATCGCATTTTTAACAGCCCTCTCCTCCCTCTGGAGCAGGAAAACTGCGCGGCTCCCTCTCAAAAACTCTCCCTGAAACTTTTCCACAAAGTTTGCGGTAACTTATCCGGTTACCGACAGATTCCCGAGACAAACAGCTCGAACCGCGAAGAACATGCGGGAAGTTTTCAGCAGCGGCAGGTCGTCTTCGCTCCAGGCCGCGTCCAGAGCTCGTGTCCCGGCTGTCCCGCTGAGTGTGTCTGCGCTCCGCTCTTTGTGTCCGCCGCCATGCAACAGAGTCCAGAAGGCGAAGACCAGGATCCAGACTACACCCAGAACGCTACTGCGCACGTCCGACGCGCAGGGGGGACACATCGGCCCCTTTCGGGAGACTTCGGGAAAAAGTCTCAGATTTATGATTAATCTTTTTTTGTTTTTTTAATTAAAACCTCCTGCAGGTGTTTTAACGAGCTAAATAAATCACCACGGTTCAACAGAGGGGGGATTTAAGACACCACAGTCCAAAACAAGGATTTACATTATCATACTTTTTATAAAATGTAAAAAACAATCTTGCACATGCAGATGGATTAAATTTCATATTTGTTTCTATTTTAAATCTAAAAGTTAAACCGTCTTTTTAAAACTCTCCATAATGAATCATGATGTTTGAAAGTTTGTTTTCTGGAGCACACTGTTAGCTAGTCCACATATCAGATGAGTTCATGTGACAGTTATTTTTATTGTTACCAAATCTTAGCAAGTCATTTTCCTCGACCTGTTTTCTTCTACACACTGTTTCTCATAGCAAGTTTTTAAAAATATTTTTTTTTCATTCTCATTTTATGTTGTAATTCATCTGTAAATATGCGGGATAGAAAGAGTGCGAAACGCATATGAGTGGTTTATTTTGAATAAATCCATGAAAAAGTATATTTGGATTTTAAACTGTTTGCACATGTCTGGCCATATTCTGACATTAAAGCTAAAAAATCCATCGGACTCTTATCAATGTGCTGGAAAAATGGGTTTGTGTGAAATAGCGCATATAGTAATGAGGAAATACGTAATTTGCATATTTAAACATATGTAATTCCAAAAAAAGTTCCTGTTTCTGTTTAAATTCAGCTTGTAAAGTTTATATGAGTACAGCTGACCGGTGTCTCGCTTTATTAAACCAAACACACTTTTAGTTTGGAGTCAAAGAAATAAAGCAGGACATGACAAATAATACAAAGATTTTAAAGTCAAAATATTAACTTTAGTCAAATCAATTCTGACCAAACATTTGACTTATGGAGAGCCTAAGTCCCTCATGGGACCTTCTCTCAGAAAACAAATGTACGGTAGTGTCATTTGTAACACTGTGAAAATACATAATTACCACAAACCCAAAAATCGCGTATATGACGCCTTAACTTTTTCTGTCAATGACTGAAGCTAATGTTATTGAAGCTAACGTTACTGAAGCTAACGTCAAAACATTTACATGAGAGAATGACGTGATAAAAGGGCCGAGAGTCGTTGGATTAAACACATCAGGTGAGATATATTTCTGCGTGAAACATAGCTAAGTTATCTAGCTAGCAGTAACCAAGCAATGAACGTTAGCTTAGCATTATCGCGCTAACATGTTGGTGATGTATACTGTTGTGGGACGAGAGGTGTAAGTAGTTCATTGAACGGTTTTAATACACAACTAAATGTAACTTTACTGTTTTTACGACAAACTGCAACTTTCTTGACGGACAAAATTATATTTTAAATTGATAAACATCTTGTGTGCAATTAAGGGCTCAATTCTAACAGTATAAAAAGATAAGTTGTCTCTCGCCGTTGACTCTACAGTTTTACAAAAAATTGCGACTTTCTTGACTTTCAAATTTATATTTTAAATTGACAAACACTATGTGTGTCATTCAGGGCACAATTCAAACGGGATCAATTTATTTTTTGTTTCTTGCCATAGAATACCGTAAAATTTTTCCCTGAAATGAGGTCACATGGTGTTCCACCGGAAGGGGAGGGACTTAGGCTCTCTATTATCTCATTATTTTCAGTATCTCACAAGTTGGACTAAAACAATAAAATTATTAATTTACGTCTTAATTTTGACGAGTCAAACATAAAGTTATAATTTTAAGATTTTATAGTCGTCTTTTTTTCTGACTGAAGAATTCAAAATGTTGATAAACTTCTCATTCTTTTGATTTACTGAGTATTTTTATTGTCATCATTATCAATTTCTCATCAGTTTTTTCTTCTTTTTTTTTTTTTGTCTTTCTTCTTGGCAGCAATGGGCTTCCGTACTTACAGTTTCTGTTTAAAATAAATTATTTAGACAAAGTTTTCTGATTTTTCTGTCTAATTTGTTAAATGTTTCTTTTTCATCTCTCCAGGCCTCTAAAAAAAGAGACAATCTGAGAAGGAAAAAACACTTATTGGTTAAAAACTGATCAGAATTCAACCTTAAAAACACAAATAATCAGAAACAGAATTAATAATTCATTGATTCATTACAGCTGCTCACACAACAAACGGCACTAAGGAAATAAAAATAATAATAATATACAATATAAAATAGAAGTTTGTGGTATTACGTACAGTTTTCTACAGTACGTGACAGAAGTACGACAAATAAATAGAAAAAATAATGAGAATTGATCATGTTAAGACCCGGAATGGATTTAAAGCTCTAAAAATGCAGCATTGGGACAGAATAAAGCAGAACAGAGCACATTAGTCAACTTAATATGTAACATTCATTTAAACAAAAAGCTAACATATGACTAATTAAGTTGTTTTTAAGGGGTTCCAGGTTTTCCAGGATAAATTAAGGATTAATTAAGAGGATTTTGTTGCGGCCCTTTGGAACAATGAAGATCATTAACACAGTTCTGATTAGATCTTCATCAACACACACAGTGAAGCTGATAGTTTAAAGTGTAAGTGATTAATTACACAGAATAATTCATGTTCATTAGTTCATTTAATTCAACAAGAGTGTTTGTTGTTTTTATTTGTCGTGTTGATCCAAGAAAACGTCAAATATAAAGAGGTTTAAAAATCCAAAAGAGTCTTTCAAGTTTTTAAGTTTCATTCATTCATTTCTTTTTCCAGTGTGAACACATTAAAACAGGCAGCAGTGAAGGAACTCAGATCCTTTACTTCAGTAAAAGTACTAATACCACACTGTATAAATACTCTGTACTTCTGTAAACGTATGTGAGTATAATCAGGACTTAACGCAGTAAAACTTCTCTGTGCCTGTTGCACTATTATTTATACAGTCGTATGCAAAAGTTTGACCCCCCCTGACAATTTCCATTTATAAATAATCAGGTGTTTGGATCAGCAATTTAATTTTGAGCTATCAAATAACTGAAAGACACAGTGATGTTTCAGCAGTGAAATGAGGTTTATTGGATGAACAGAAAATCTGCAATATTCATCAAAACGGAAGTAGACAGGTGCATAAATGTGGGCGCCCTTGTCATTTTGTTGATTTGAATACCTGTAACGACCTTGCACTGATTAACTAGAACACACAGCTGGTTTGGTGAGCTCATTACACAGGTGCATCCAATCATGAGAAAAGGTGACTCTCCTCTGAAGAGCGGCAACATGGGGGCCTCAAAATAACACTCAAATGACCTGAACATTCTGGTTCAGGGGAAGGCCCCAAACAAAGACATTTAAGCTGTCAGTGTCCACTGTGAGGAACATAGTGAGGAAATGTAAGACCACAGGCTCAGTTCTTGTTAAGGCCAGAAGTGGCAGGACAGGTAAAATATCGGAGAGGCTATGATATTGGATTCTACTCAATATGAGCAGATATTTGAGAATAATGTAGAGGAATCAGTCACAAAGTGGAGCTGGATATTTCAACAAGACGACGACCCAAAACACTGCTCAAAATCTACTCTGGCATTTATGCAGAGGTACAAGTACAATGTTCCCCAGACCTGGATATCATTGGAAATCTGTGGGGTGATCTGAAGCGGGCGGTCCACGCTCGCTGGAGATGGTTTGCAAAGAGGAAAGGTCCAAAATACCTCACTAACTCATTACAGGCTATAGGAAGCAGCTAGAGGCCGTTATTTCAGCTAAAGGAGGCTCAACTGCGTGACCTGGTGTTTCTGTAGGGTGCCCACATTTATGCACCTGTCTAATTTTGTTCATCCAATAAACCTCATTTCACTGCTGAAACATCACTGTGTCTTTCAGTTATTTGATAGCTCAAAATGAAAATGCTGATCCAAACACACGTTTATTTACATATGGAAGTAGTCAGGGCCTCAGATTACTATTCCTTTATAACAAAACGTCATTTTATAAACTTCATGTCTTTTGTGTAAAAAAAAAAAAAGTAACTGAAGCTGTAGTGAAGTAAAAAGTACAGCATCTCCCTCTGAGGTGGCGCAGGAGGAGAAAATACTCACTACAAGTACCTCAAATTTGTACTTGAGTACATGTACTTAGTTACTTTCCACCACAGCCCAAGTGATCCAACATCTGAACAATTATTTAGTTTTAGTTTTTTCCTTCTAAACACTAAAATATGTGGATATTTACACATTTTATATTATTAAATTCTTTTTAACCATAGACTGTGTGTAAAAACTAGCTGAGCCGCTCCGCAGCTGACTGTAAAGGCAGGCGGCGCCCCCTGCTGGTGTTTGCATGAGTTTACTCCAGCTTAAATTTCATTTGTTTGGTAAGTCTGGCACCACAGTTATGATTTTTTACTTAATTTTATAAAACACAGCGTTACCTCTAATCAAAATCTTTTCTTACGTCAAAGTTTTTAAATTAAAGTCATGATAATTCACATTTATTTGACAATGTTGACAAAATAAAAACTAAATACATTGGGGGTTTTTAACGGTCATTTCGCTTTGCTCAAACCCACCAGACTCCATTGATAAAAACAGCCATTTTACCTCTCTGCTCTTCCGCTGCCTCGATTAGTTAGTGTTAGTCAGTGTGTGACTTTGTTGTTTATGTTTGTTTGTGTTGTGCGATTTTG